CAGCCGCACCAGGAAGCCGATGTACTTCATGGCCAGGCGGAGCACTTCGTTCTTGCTCAGCTTCCGGTCGGGCGGGTGCGTTGGCAGCAGCTTCCTGAGCTCCGCGAAGGCGCCGTTCACGTTCTGCTGCCGCCAGCGCTCGCGGCTGTTGGTGAACACGCGCCGGGCCACCTTCTGGGGCTGGTGACCTGAGGATAGGTGGGAAGGGTCTGGGGCTGAGGCTGAGGCCCAGAGGATGCCCCCTCCCACCCTTGCTTGGAGCACCCAGCACCCTGGTGGGGGTCTAAACCCAGACCCCTGCTCGTCCCCACTCTATACTACCCTACCCTGCTGCAGGTGACTGAAAGAGCAGTGTTGGTGACTGCCAGTCTGGGGAACCATGGGAGGTCTTGTTCTGAGTGGGCGAGGCCCCTCCGTGGGGCGGAGTTGTTTGTGGTCAGAGAGGAGGCCTCCTTGTGGCCATGCCTCTGTTGATGTCTGGCGTGCTGGGTGACTGCTGGCCTAACAGAATGGCTGTGGATGTGTGTGTGTGGCAGTTACCATGTCGCTGTGGTCATGTGGCTTTTTCCTGTGTGGCTCCCCCCGTGCAGCTGTGGTTCCACGCTGGTCCTCCCTGTGGCTGTGGTCCTGTGTTTGTCCCCAAGTTGCTGTGGGTCTACGTCTGTCCCCTGTGTGGCTGCGCCTCTGTGGTTCCACGTCCCTCCTGTGTGGCTGCGCCTCTGTGGTTCCACGTCTCTCCTGTGTGGCTGTCCCCCACGTGACTGTACATGAGAGGGGAGCTGTGAATGGGTGCTCCCTGCACCACGTGGGGCTGTGTGTGGCTGTGAATTTGCTCTCGTGGCTGTGAATTTGCTCTCGTGGCTGCGCTGCGGGGCTTGTTGGGGTGGCTGCAGTTGTGTGGCATGGGACTGTGGTTGCACACAGAGCTCTTAACTTGAGCAGAGAAGTCATGTGGATCTGGGGGAAGGGCATGGGACGCAGATGTGGGTCCCGTGCAGTGGCAGTGACGGCGGTCTCCTTCAGCACACCAGTGAATACACACGTGCGTGCTCCCCTGCAGCCGCAGCACACCAGCACGTGTGCCCACAAGCACACACCCACGCTCACCCTCAGCCAGGTCCAGCTCACAGTGACTCGGTCTCCGTTTTAGCCGGCTGCTAGGGAAGATGCCAAAAGGTCCTGCCGGCCCAATGTAGAGGCTGTAAGGGGTCATGGGTCACTAAAGCCTTATGGACATGGCCCCCCTGGCCCCCAGTCCCCCAGCCCCCAGCCCTTCACTGACCTGTTGAGGAAAGGGTGAGGGTGGTAATGCAGGGCCAGGGTGGGTGGGCCCGTTCCCAGGGCAGAAATTTGCAGCAGAGGGGGCCGAAGGGCTGTCAGCTCCGTGGTGGGCACAGCTGCCCCTGAAGGTCTGCTGTGGCCCAGGCTGATCACTGGCACCCCAGGAGGTAGCCTGGGGAGTGGGGAACCTGCGTGGCCTACCTCCTCTGCCTTCGGGGGCCCAGGTGAGGCTGGTTCAGGGGGCGAGTTAGGGGTTGGGCTGGGGGCACACACCATCTCTGCCTTCTCGGTCATGGTGGAACCCACCTCTGCCTGGGCCTGGGGTGGGCACATGGACCCCGAGGGGGCACTCACCTGTGGGAAGGAAGGAAGCCAGTGGGGAGGGAGGACCCAGCTGTTACCCTGCCTGTCCCAATGCCTCCTTCTGGAATGCTGAGGGCCTGGGGGTGGGGCTTAGAGGGCAGAGGCCAGGCAGGTGGGGGGTGGACCTAGAAAGGAGCCAAAGCTATGCTCCTAGAGATGCTGGACCCCAAAGAGCCAGCTCTGAGCTACCTGAAGGCCACCCTTTTCCAACCACTGAGTAAACTTGCCGTCTTCCCAGAGGCCTGCTGGCAGGGGGTGGGAGGGTGGGGGCAATTGGGGGGGTCCCCTGGCTGATCCTCGGAGACTTTGAGATCCCAAACTGACCCTGTGGCCCCCAGAAGCTAACCATGTGGCCCTTGGATTCCATCCTGAGACACCCCTCTTTGACTCATGGGTGCCACGTGATCATGGAATCTGTCCAAGATTGGCCTGAGCCTCCCGTAATGCCAAGGCAGCCTGTGGCCCAGGCCATCCATGCCTCCCCAGCTCTTGCCAACCTGCCACTGAGTCTGAGCCCACCCACCATGACTGCGCCAGTGACCCTAACTAGCCTGGATCCCTGCTATTGGCACTAAGACCCCCAATGCTGAACAGGATCTATGAACACTGTCCTCACTGCCCGGTACAGTTATGCTGCAGGCTCCACCCCTCCCTGGGGATCCACCAGATCAGTACTCACTTGTGAACCCTGTTTCCATGTCTCTTGTTCCACCTGGGTATCCCCCCAAAGCCTGGCTCTCCCTATAAAGGCTTAGGCCCTTCTAGCCCGCTGCATTGTCTTGCTATATGAGTCCCAGCCAGGCTGAGGAAGCTTGTCTGACCCCCCAGAATGAATGGAGCCATGAATGCGGGGAGATACAGATCCTTCAGGTGGGGGGTGGGGGGATCTCTTACCCCAGCGCTGGTCCCACCGCCTGGTGAGGGCCTGGCCTTGGTCCCCTTGGGGCCAGGACGCTGTGCTGGCTTCAGGTGTGGCCTCAGTGCATGCTGCAGCAGTCGGCTACCTTGACCGGACCCTGCTGTTGGGCCCGGCCTCCCCTAAGTCCGGAGGGCTTGGGTGGCAAGGGTGGCAGTGGCGGCGGCGGTGGTGGTGGTGGTGGCGGCGGCAGCCCCCCAGAGAAAGTGAGCGTTCCAGCCGGCCTGCCCACTCCCGGGACAGCTTCCTCCCCTGCCCGGAGCAGCAGCGGCCAGAGGATGCTGGGCCCGTGAAGATAAGGGCCTGGCTGCCTGGCCACGCCAGATAAGGAGCCGTGCTGACCCCGGAGGAAACCGATGGGGCGGAGAGCTCAGAGCTCAGAGCCCCGCCCCTGGCCAGCGCAGGCAGGACTCTCCCCGCCTCTCACCACCGCAGGGGGAGGGGGGAGGAGAGTGGGAAGGATGGCTGGAACCAAGCAGAGGGGAAACTGAGGCAGTGAACCTGTGGCCTCCTGCTTAAATGCCCCCCCCACTCTTAGGTTAGTGCTGATGGGGGTGGGGAAGGGCCCTTTCCAGCCTAGTAGGACCTCGTGATTGGGGGCCCCTCCCCCTCTGCCTGGTTCCTCTTTTTAGAGCCCCACCCAGGCTTTTTGTCACTCCACCTCCAAGAGTGGGGAGGGGGGGTAAGGGGCGGGCAGCTCAGTCAGTCTGGACTCAGGTGTGTGGGGTGGCAGGTGTGCTTAAGTAGCCTACTGCTCAATCCAGGACGCTGGGTCTGGTGAGACCTGGAGGAAGGCACCCCAATTCTGAGTTTCCTACCCCCTCACCCTCACCCCCATACCAGGCCATTCCTAAGTGGAGCATGATGAGGTGTGTGGTGGGGGGTAGTGTTGGACAGGTGGCCTGGAGTGGGGCCAGGTCAGCCCCTCTGAAGTTTTCTGAGGGGTGGGGTCCAGGTAACAACCAAGTACCAGTGGCCAGACTGCCCCTTCTCCCCAGCTCCTCCTCCTGGGTCAGCCGTGCTTTACTGTGAGCATCTGGGGGAAACGCTCCTCGCCCTGCCACCGGCCAGCACCAAGACCACTCCTCGGGACTGTGGGGAGGAGCGGGCTTGAAGCGCAGGCCTGTCAACCAGCATCATTTGCAGAAGGGGCAAAATACCACCCCCCAACCTCCCTCCACGGCGATGCCAAGGACACGGGGTTCCAAATTTAGCTTGTGGCCGGAGTAGGGGTTCTGCCTCAGGGTTCCCCATTAACGTTACACCCTCATGCTCCAGTGGGCAGTCACCAGGCCTGGGCCTCCGTGCCCGCCCTCACGGGGCGCCCGGCAGGATGCACCTGCTCTGGAACGGATGTACAGAGCGCCTGGTTCCGGTCCGGCTTCCTCCACTGAGGCCCCAAGGGAACTGGGCTAAAGAAACCAGGCAGTGAGGAGGCAGCGGCGCCAGGCCACGTGGGGATTTCGTGGTGAAAGCGGCTACGCGGCCAGGAGCGCACGTCTGATGGTGGAGGGGGGGCCCAAAACACACCCCCTTCCAGCACCCGCGCATGGCTGCCGCCCGGTGGTCACATCAGGAACCGCAGACGCCAGCTCTCAAAGCGAGTTGCATGCCTGTGCTTGGTACATAAACACTTCAGATACTTCAGACTGAAAAAGTGCCAACACCCCTGCCCTACAGGAATAGACACCCTCTGGGCAGACTACAGAACTCCCCCGGGGCAAGGGTGGGGCTCGAACAAAAAGATACCAACAGACCCTGAACATGCAGCGGTAGAGGAACAGGCACAGAGACAGGCCACCAGGCCTCCCAACACAGACAAACGACAGTTAAAGGAAAGACATCTTTTTATTGGTTCAGTCTTGGCTGGGTCCAGCGGCGGCTCCAGGCCTCGGGCCTCAGACCGCAGGGCAGTCAGTGGGGGCAGGGGCACCAAGACCGGGCGTCGGGCTGTGTGAGTAGCAGCACTGGTCGCCGTGGTGACAAGTGCCCTGGTGGGAGGATGGTGAATGTGAAACCCTGGCCAGGGCCCACTTCTCCCAGGTCCACAGGCCTCCTTGTCCTGCCCGGCTCCAGGGTCCAAGGCTGCCTGGGAAGGCTGCCGACCCTGCACTGGCACCAGGGTGTGCTCACCTCCTTGAACCTCTTGCAGGGAAAGTTCTTGAGCCGGGCGGCTCGCTGAGCTGGGTCCTCAGCTGGCTCCTTCCGCTTGCTCCTCTCCCGAACGGCACTGCCTGACGCCTGGCCCCTATGCAAGGAGACGTCATCAGGCGCTGAGACCTGGCTGGCCTTTGCCTGCCCCAGCCTGGCTGACGCTCCCCCCCCCACCTCCGCATACTCCACTCACCCTGGCCGGGCACGTGGCCGGGGCCCCCAGTTGGCCTCGGGGTTGGCCTGGAAGCGCTTGAGTCCTTGCTGGCGGGAGCGGGGGTTGGCATCTTCCCGGATGGTGAAGTTGGCCTGCAGACTGGGGGAAGGGGAGGGCAGGGGTCACTGACAGGTCAGGACAGACTGGGTGAAGCCTATCTTTGCCTGTGTGTTCAAACGCCTTCCTGCAGTTACCAGACACTTCCCGAGACCTGCTGTGTACCCTGGTGCTGTGTGCATTGGGCTGCTAACCAAAGGTCACCAGTTCAAACCCACTAGCCGCTCCCAGTGGGGAAAGATGAGGCTTTCCAGTCCCATAAAGACTGCCAGCCTGGGACACTCACAAAGGGCCATTCTATTCCGTCCAGGAGGGCCACTGTGAGGTGCAATCGGCTTGACAGCAGGGAGTTTGGGTTTCTGGTTGCCTGTGTACCTGTTCTCCGGGCTTGGGAAGCAGACGCTCCAGTATAGGAGACAGCCAGGCAGCGAGAGGGATCAGGAATAAGCAAAGATCGAGTGTGCTAGCGAGCGAACCAGGTGTTTGGGGGAAACTGAGCACAGTAAAAGGGGCATGGGGGCACTGAGAAGGGGTGCAGTGTTGGGGGGTGTGTGTGAGCAGAGAGGCCTCACTGAGGAGACACACATATGCAGAGACCTGACGGAGGTGAGGGAGAATGCCAGGGTGAGCTGGGCAGGGCCGTCCGAGGCAGCAGGCTTAGTGAACAAGAGAGAAAGAAGGCTGGGACCGGGACCCGGAGGGTTTAGGCTGATCAGGCAGGTCCTGTGGGCTGAGAGAGGGCTTGGGCTTCGACTTCAGATGAGGTAGGAGTCAAGGAGCCCTGGCTGGCGCACTAGGTAAGCTCTTGCTGAAGGACTGATGGCGTGAACCCACCAGCTGCTCCTTGGGAGAAAAAGGTGAGTCGGCTGCAGTTATCCATGTGCAGTCTTGAAAACTCTAGGGGCAGTTCTACTCTGCCCTGTAGGGGCGCTGTAACAGGATGGAACAGAAACGGATAGATTTGGGGTGGGGTTTGTTTTTTGTTTTTTAAGAAGGGGGAAGATTTAAGGTGGGAGCCATAGAAGGTTCTCAGCAGAGGGCCAGGTGCAGGATTGGGTGCTCGCAGGCGCCCTCTAGTGGCTGGAGAGGGCAGGGACCCAGGCGCTGGTCCACGTGGGGGCGGAGAAGCAAAGAGGAGAATGGAAACGAGGGGAGGTTTGGGAGCTCCATAGAAGCCGCTTGGCTAAAAATAATAATAATAATAAAGAAGAAGAAGAAGCCGCTTGGTCCCTGTGTCTGCCCGCGTGTATTTCATTAGCCCGAGGGTTCCCAGGCCAGGGATGCCCACGCTGAGAAGGCTGAACGCTGGGCTCTGTACCTGGGCTCCACGCTGAGAATGCGGAAAGCTGGGCTGGTCTCTGACAGCCGCTCCCGTTTCACTGGACACTCCTTTTCCTGGGCGGCAGAGGTCAGGGGTCAGGGATAGCGGGCAGGGGTGGTAGTGGGGGCGGTTTGGCCCTGGGGTACCCAGCCCTGCCCTCTTCCCGGCCCCGCCCCTCACCCAGCATCGCATGATGTCCCAGAGAACAGAGGTGGGGGCGTCGGTTTTCACTGCGTTCTTACAGGCGTGGGAGAGGGAGACTCTGAAGCCGGCATGGAGGAGGGCAGACCTGGGGAAGAGAGCCAGGGAGGTGGGTGGGCTTCAGACCTGGCCTGTGGGCGTGGGGGAGGAGGGGAGTGGAGGAGAGAGTGGGCGCTGGGGCAGGGCTACCCATGACCACAGGACACCCCCCCCTACTGCCAGAGCCTGCAAGGACACAGCTCTGGGCCTCTCCGGAGCATGCCAGGTGCCGGCAGCCTGCTCCCCGCGGCCTCACCGCAGCTGCAGGAGGCTGGGAGTGTTGCAATGGATGGTGCTGCTCAGGTGGTCCAAGGTGTAGTACAGGGGCACGTCAGGGAGCTCCTGCAAGGGGGCGGATGGGCGTGGGTGGGCGTGCAGGGGGACAGGTGCTGATGAAGGCCCCACCTTCTGCCACAGCCCTGCCCCCACCTCAGTGACGACACTCAGGACACCTCGGATCCGCTCTGAGGTGTGGAAGCGGCCAGGGTTGGTGCTCACTGCCTGGAGGACACGGCCCACGAAGTCTAGGTCGTGGAGGGGCTCTGCCCATATGGGACCGCCAAGCTGTGGGCACGCGGGGGTCAGGTGGGCAGAGCTGCTTTAGCCAGGTCCCCAGCCCCGCTCCCTCTCCCAGCCGCCCCACCTGGTGTTTCTGCCCACAGTGCTCACACTCGGGCATCACCGGAGGTCCACAAGCTGCCGAGAACTTGATCCTGCGAAGAGAAGGCAGTCAGGGCTGGTGATCCCCAGGGACCTGCCCAGCCAAACCTGGATAACCTCACTCACCGATTCCCTGAGGCTGCAGAAGCTCTGCCAAGGCGCTGGAGGTGGAAAGCCCCACAGCCCACACACTGGAACACCAGGGCCTGCTTGCTGCAGCAGAGGGAGGAAGGGGGCCCGAGTTTCAGGCAAGCACATCACACCATATCCTAAACTTCCCCTGCACACCCCCAGAGGCAGGACCCCCATCCCCCCTCTATTTCTCCAGGCAGGGTCTTTTGGCTTTCAACCTCTTCCACACTCCTCCCAGGCCCCCAACCCTGACCGGGATCGCAGGCCAACCTGGCTGAGGCCTTGACCTTGGCCTGGCCCGTGAAGATCCGGACAAACACTCTCACATAGAAGTCTGCACTGACGCTGAGCAGCGGGACCAGGAAGCGCTGGTAACAGTTGGCCCGGAGGTCAAGGCTGTGCAGGACGATCCTCAGAGCCTGGTCACCAGGGGGTGGGCATTAGCAACTTGCCCCCCCACTCCCCTGAGGAGCAGCACACCCAGACCCCCACCCTGGGGCTAGACCCCTGGATTCCAGTCTCAGCCGCATCATCGCTGCCTGGCTGAGTGCGCTCCACCTCTCTGTGCCTCAAACACCCCCCCTACCCCCCCCTCTGCAGGGGCTCTGTCCCTGTCTCTCAGAGCCTTGTGGGGCACAGGGTGGGCAAAACCCCCAGGCCCTGACACAGAGGAGCCAGATGGGCATGTGTGTCAGCGCCCTGCGGGTGAGGCCCAAAGTCCCGGCCAAGGATGGACTCGGGGGACAGGATGTGTGGAGCCCTGGGGCTTTTCAGACCCGCCTGCTTGAATCCCCACAGTGACCCCAGGGGGTTGGTGCCATCTTTGCACCCATTTTACGGATGAAAAAAAAAAGGAGGTCCAGGAAGTTGTCCCTTGTTGCTTAGAGATACCAGCAAAACTGGGCATCGAGACCAGATCTACACCCAGCTCTGGAAATGATGATTTGAAAAATGCTGACATGTTGTTCAGACACACAACACTAGACAGAACAATGGAACCACCCGCTCCGACCCTGGGCAAAGCCAGGGCCCCACAATGGCTCTGCTGGCTAGAGGTGCTCATGTCACTCCCAGCTAGGCCTGGATTTGGCCCTGGGTAGTGGGAGGTTGAGGCAGGGCTCACCATCTCATGGCAGGCGCGGCTCTTGAGCGCCATGGCCCCGTACTTGCTGTAGCATGTCTCCCCACTGTTGCCTGCCAGCACTGCCATGTCCGTGCAGGTCACACACAGCAGTCCTGCAGGGATAGGTGGGCAGTGAGGACCCTCCAAACAGCACCACCACCACCCCCCACGGCTCCTTGTGGCATCGGCCCTGGATTTACCTCCTTCACTCACAGCCTGTACTGCCGCGTCCAGGAAAGGAGAGGGGCTGCCATAGGGATCCAGGTCAATGACGTCAAAGCGTTCTGATGCCCTCTGATGCTGGTACATCAGTATGCTGGGTGCAAGGGGGACAAGCCTTCAGGGCAGACCCCAGCTCCCTCCCTCCTGTGGGCCAACTTGGACAGTTCCGGTTTGGGCTTGGACTTGGGGCCAGCTGCCTGGCTTGGACAGGACTTTTCTGCTTCGGGGCTCAGACTACTCCTCCATAACAGCAATGGTTAACAGGCAACCTTAGGGCAGCACAGACATGCCCAGCACTGTTTCGAGCAGATGACAGATGTAAACTCACTTAATCGCTCAGTTCTCTAAACAGCTCCAGGGACTGGGACCTTCTGTGGGTCCCTTCTCCCAGCAGCCTGCCCCATCAAGCTCCTCAAAGTGACCAGCCCCTTCCCGCCTTCCTGCACCCTCTCTTTTGTCCATACCACTTTTCACTTCTAGTTGACCAAATAATTGGTTCACTGGTCACATTTGTTTGGTTATCTGTGCTTCCAATTAGATTCCATTGGGGTCAGGATGCTTGCTCTCTAAAGCAACAGTTCTCACCCTGTGGGTTGCCACCCCTAGCAAAATGACAGTGATGAAGTAGCAACGAAAATAATGTTATGCTTGGGGGTCACCACCACATGAGGAACTGTATGAAAGGGCCGCAGGCACTAGGAAGGCTGAGAACCAGTGCCCTAAAGGGTCAGCCAATGGATGTTCCAGGACCTGTCGTCTCTACCGCAGGGAGTGCTGGTGGCGTAATGGGTTGATCATTGGGCTGCTACCTGCAAGGACTGCAGTTTGAAACCACCAGCCACGGGAGACAGATGAGGCTTTTAACACCTGCAAAGACTTATGGTCTTGGAAACCCACAAGGGAGTTCTACTCTGTCCTATGAGGTTGTTCTGAGTCGGAGTTAACTTGATGATAGGGAGTCTCGACTGCACATTCTTTTTCTTGCTTGTTTATTTCCTTTAGCCCTTTATAAATGTACAAAGCATTCTTAGTTCACAGGTTACACAAAACCCCACTGCAGCTTCACCAGATGAAGGATTTTGTTTCCTGTCACACACTGGGTTTTCCATACACACCTCACATTTGAATAATAAAAGAAATACAAGGAGTGAAGTCTGACATGGGGATGATAATGGCATGTATCTCCGGCCCCACGTTGGAATGCTATCAGACGCTCCCATCATTTTCATCATCATAGGAGCCCCCCTGTAAAACTTTGCCTGGGTTTACAGATTAGACCATGGGGGCTCAGAGAGGCTACAGAATATGACCAAGCCAGGTTGGGACCCTGCAAGGGGCCTGACTCTAGGGTCCACTTTCTGGGCACTAGGCTCTGCTGCCCCATGCTTACCGGGCATCAGCCTGGCTGGGCTCTACCAGGTGGCCCACGTCATTCAGCTGCACGTTGTGGCGTATGAGATCCACGGCTCGGGCAGAGGCGTCATTGGCAACCACAGATCGCAGTCCTGGCACCTCTTGGGCGAAGCGTATGGAACGCAGGCCAGAGGCTGCCAGGCCCTCCAGCACCCGCAGTCCCTCCTGTTGGGTAAACCGGGAACATTCCACTCACATCCGTACCTCTTTCCTCTCGCCACACACCTCCTTTAGTTTCTCCTCTTGGGAAGCCCACCTTCCTCCGTCACCCACACCACGGAACCTCTGGGGATTCCTCCTATGCTCAGGCCCACCTCACAGATCTCTCTCACGGCTGCTGTTCGAGGCTGGTCTCCTGGGGTGAGGGGTTTGCCCTCTTTCAGTTTGGTTTTGTCCTCCTCTTGTTCTGATAAATCCACGACCACCTTTTGCACGTCCTTCTCACCTGGCACCTTGACTGCAGGCACCAGAAGGCACGCATTAGGCGACACTAACATTTTCTCTAAGCCACCTCCCTTCACTCTTGCATACAGAAGACTGGGGAAGGAAAATCTCCCCAAAATCCGCTGAGGAAAAGCTAATGGAATAGAGCCCAGGCCCTGCTATGAGGCTGGAGCTCTCTAGGCAAGGGAGGTGGGGTGGTGAGGCAGGGAGAGCTTTGGGTGATCCCACTCATCAGGCGCTGAGGACCTTCACTCACTCTGGATTCCTTTGGTCTGAAGCTGCATGCGAGCAAACTCGGTGATCACTGCACATCTGACGGGAGACGAAGGATCAGGTCCCACCCCTCCCACCTCACTGACCCACCGCTTCCTGTTCCCAAGCCAGGCTGACCCCTGACCCTTGCTCACGTCAGGTCCCGGTTGAACTCCTGCACGGGATTGTAGAAGACTTGGTTGGCACTGGGAAAGACGATCTTGGCGGCCCCTTCGGTGACTGTCGTCTCCTGGGCCAGCGGCGGCCACTCCTCTGCGCCACAGGTCCCCGTGCCGTTCTTCATCGCAGCCGAATCCGGCGGCTCTCGGGGCTGCCCTTCCATCACCGGGGCTCTACAGAGACGGCGGGAGGAGCGGAGCGGGAGGCTTAGCCACAGCAGGGTCCTCGCGCGGGGCATCCGCGGGCGCCTCTGTCCATCAAGCCTGGTTAAGGGTAGAAGAGTAGGTTACGGTCTGGGGCCGGGGGTGGCCTACCCACCAGAAAGCGGAAGACGCAGCTCGGAAGACCCAGCGGCCTCAGGGCGCTGACATCTCCAGCCAGCCCGGGTCCCTTCCCGCGCCGCCCTGGCCCTCTTTACCTTTTCTCGGAAAAGCGAGCAGGAAATTCGTTTCGGTACACGTTTCCAGGATTAGGACCTGGGCGCCGCCATGTTGGCACAGTAGGGGGGCGGGTCACGTGACCCCCGTGCTCCAATCCATGCTGCCACTTACGGTGGGCGACTGGGGTCGAAATGCACACTGAGCGGGAAGCGCGCGGAGAGGCGGGCCGACTCAGTCCCAGGGGATCATCCTGTGGGAGGGAAACGCGTCACCGACCCCGTTTCACAGATGAGGACGTTGAGGCTCAGGACAGGGGCGGTAAGCAGAAAGATAACAATACTCAGTTGCTCTTACAATGTGTCGGGTGCCGGATACATTGTTGCGGAACACCCTGCAGGGTACCGGGAGCAACTCAGCCTCCCGAATTAGACGTACTGGATGGGAAGCCAGCCCTACCACGTGTAAATTACGTAGATTCTTTGGACTTCGGTGTGTTGGCCGTAGGGAGTCCAGATTCCAAGCTAGGGCAACGTTTCCACAGCAGCGTGCTTGGAAAGTGTGCAAGACAGCGTCTTTGCCCGAGTCAGTGCTCAGGAGGGTCTAACTGGCGGACGGAGGAAAATGGGTGCCCTGCCGCCTGGGATCCAGTCAGTTCTGATGCTAGCTAGTCGGTCTTACCCTTCTCTGTGCTTGTTTCTCCATGTGCAGAATGGCAGAACTCTTCAACGTTGGTCACTGAGTTGCTTAAAACGAAAAACCCAAATCCAAAAATCGCCCACGAGGCGATTCCAATTCACAGCCACCCTATCCCTCCCGGCTACCGAGTCGATTCGGACTCAGAGCGGCCCGTGATAGGACAGGGTAGGTTGTAGCTCTTTTTTAAAAAAAATTTATTAATCATTTTATTAGGGGCTCATACAACTCTTATCACAATCCACACACATATCAATTGTGTAAAGCGCATTCGTGCATTCATTACCCTCATCATTCTCAAAACATTTCCTCTCCACTTAAGCCCCCGGCATTAGGTCCTCATTTTTCCCCTCCCTCCCCGCTCCCCCCGGTTGTAGCTCTTTATAGGAGTAGCGGACTACGGTCTTTCTCCCGCTGAGCAGCTGGTGGTTTTGAACTGCTGACCTTGCGGTTAGCAACCCAATGCGTAATCACCATGCCACCAGGACTCCTCAAATCCGCCCTAAGGAGCAGAGTAAAACTGCCCCACTGGGGTGCTGAGACTGTAAATCCTTCTAGGGGCAGACTGCCTCATCTCTTCAGGAGACGTTGGTGGGTTTGAAACGCTAACTTTCACAGTCCCACTTGCGCCAGATGTGCAGAACCAAACCCGGGATCGCAGAACGTTCGTTTTATGGTCGCTTCTTGAGCCTAGGTTTGAAGCCAGACACACTACCACTTCTCGCTTACAATCGTCAGCAGATTCTTTTTGCTCTCATCTTTTCTAGAAAGATTTGTGCGTGTGATTATTCCTAACTGAAAATATGTCTGTGGAGTTTCAGCAAGGTAGTCGTGGTGAGTTCGGTGCCTTCCATTCGGTTGGACTCCTAGCGACCCTATGCCGGGCCTCACAATCTTCCTATGTCTAACCCCGTTAAGCAGAGTAGTTTGTATTAAGACTCTAAGACAGTCCCTGGTTCAATAAATAGCAGTCATCGTTTTGGTTTGTTTTGTTTTAGGAAACCGAGGTTAGGAGACGCAAAGCGACTTGTCCCAAGTTTCGGAACAAGAAATTGGCGGGGTCAAGATTCGAACTTGTAAGCGAAGACGTAATACTGGGAGGCACCCTGAGGGGCGGAGGGAGGAGCCTTGGCCCGGAGGAAGGGGCTCGCTCGACGCTCGGCTGGCCG